AACCAATTGGCAGGAGGTAAGGGGTAAGTACTTACTTACTTAAGTAAGTACTTAACCAATTGGCAGGAGGTAGGGGGTAAGTACTTACTGCTAGGATCAAAATCAACCTGGTGAGCTGGGGGTTGCTTTTTGTCGCAGAGACGGGGTATCCTAGCAGTAAGTACTTAAGCTCTAGCTTAAGAGGCTGGCAAGGAGCTTGCTTTTTTTTTTTTTTTTTTTTTTTTTTTGAGTTGGGGTCTCACTCGGTCGCCCAGACTAGAGTGCAGCGGCCGCTCCTGGCTGCTGCAGCCTCGACCTGCTGGGCTCCAGCGATCCTTCCACCTCAGCCTTCCGAGTAACTGGAACTACAGGCGTGCGCTACCACGCCCAGATAATTTTTTATTTTATTGTAGAGATGAGGTCTCACCAAGTTGCTCGGGCTGGTCTCGAACCCACGGGCTCAGGCAATCCACTCGCCTCGGCCTCCCAAAGTGTTGGGATTACAGGCTGAGCTGCCGAGCCCAGCCAAGCTCCAGTTCTAAGGGAAAATTGGACTGATTTCAGAGCTGTCTTCTGCCAAAACATAGATGTCCCAAGGTACTAGATGGGAGGTATCATGGAGCATATCTTGCCCACCTTTACCAACTATCTTGTACTAACCCAGTCATGGTAGAACAGACCCACAGTGCTGGCCACAGACGTGCCTCTGAAGTCTAGACATACCGCCTAGATGGGCCTGGCCCTCACAGATAATGAAAGCCAATCACTCAAGCATGAAACAGCTCTGAGGTTGTTTTCCTTCTGAGGAATAAAAAAACTCAATCTTGGTTCCTATGTCTCCTACACTAGGAAACCAGAACTGCAGGATGACACACAGGAAACCTGGAAATCAGGACTGATGGCATTTGGCCTGGCCTTAAGAGATGTCCTGCTCAAGAACCCTGAGCTTCTGAAGCATTGATGGACCAATGGGCCACATCTAGCAGCAATGTCAGGCAGACTGGAGTTCTTGGTTTCAAATAGCCAAGACCTCCCTGTGAGATTTCCAAATGTAGAGGGTGACCTCGATGTCAGGAGGCCACTCATTAGGATCAGTGGACAAAGACTGCTCCAGAGATTTCCTTTAAGCTTGTGAAAACTCTGGAGCAGGACTTCTGATGTCTTTGTTTCCATCCTGACCTGTGCAGGTATATATGAGGAACACATGTCAGGCCCAGAGGTAGGCCCAGGACACCTCTGAAATACTGCTGATCCCTAGACAGTCCAGAAGACTATTTACTTTGGGCCCTGTAAAGAATCTGCTGGGCTGGACTCAGTGACTCAGTCTGTAATCCCAGCACCTTGGGAGGCCGAGGCAAGTGGACTGCCTGAACCCAGGGGTTTGAGAGCAGCCTGGGCAACGTGGCGAGACCAATAAATCTCTACAATAAATAAAAATTAGCCAGCCGGGCTCGGTGGCTCAGCCTGTAATCCCGCCAGGGTGTGGTGCCACATACCTATAGTCCCAGCTACTCAGGAGGCTGAGGTGAGAGGATCACTTGAGCCCAGGCCCAGGAGCTCAAAGCTACACTGAGCTATGATAATGACACTGTACTCCAGCTTGAGTAACAGAGCAAGATCCTATCTCTTTTAAAAAAACAACAAAAAGCTGGGTTCGGTGGCTCAGCCTGTAATCCCATGCTTTGGGAGGCTGAGGTGAGGGGATTGCCTGAGCCCGCGGGTTCGAGACCCGCCTGGGCAGCAAGACCTCATCTCTACAATAAATAAAAAAATCAGCTGGGCATCGTAGCATATGCCTGTAATTCCGGCTACTTGGAAGGCCGAGGCGGAAGGATCGCCGGAGCCCAGCAGGCGAGGCTGCGGTGGCCAGGAGCGGCCACTGCACTCCAATCTAGGCAACTGAGTGATACTCCAACTCAAAAAAAAAAAAAAAATTAGCTGGGCATGGTAGCACATGCCCATAGTTCTGGCTACCTGGAAGGCTGAGATGAGAGGATCACCTGAGCCCAGCGGGTCGATGCTGGGGTGGCCATGAGTGTGTCACTGCACTCCAGCCTGGGCAACACAGTGAGACTCCAACTCAAAAAAAAAAAAAAAAAGAATCTACCTCCTGGGCTACAACAGATATATGTACAGATACATAAAGTTAACTCCATCTTACCCTCTGCCCTCAGGAATGGCCATTATACCCAGAGGTTGTGTCTCCAGGGCCTGCTCACACCCTGCTTCTGTAAACAAACCATTCTCCAAGGTGAAGACCAGTGAGGTGACACTTGCCACCCAGAGACTGGACAACCACTTCTTAGATTAAAAGTTGTTCCAATACTTTCTCAGTTTGTATCTGGTCCTTGGCTTTCTCTAGGGGCCTCTCCTTGGACACCAGACAGCTGGTGCTGTCTTAGGAAAGATTAACCACATTCGCCGGCCAAAATAGCTCAGTCTCTAGGCCTGCTTTTTCATTTTTAAGACGCAGATGACCGCTGCTCACTTCTTTGAGACTTAGACTGGGCATCACACATGGTATAGATGACTGCTCAGGCTATGCCAGGCCGCTAGGTATGCAGCCTCTATGTTATCTCACTCAGTGCTCACAGCTCTGTGAGGTACCCACTACGATCTGCATTTTTCAGATAAAAAAACAGATTTTAAAAAAACAGACTTAGTGTTGGATATCTTTCCCAAGGTCACCAGAAGGAAAAGCACAGAGTTAGGGTGCGTCTGGGTGGTCCCGCTTGGCCTGCGACCGAGATGCGGGTGGCATGGCAGGCTGCGCGTAAGTCCCGCCGGCTCCCCCGCGTGCGGGGGCGCGCGCGCCCACCTTCGCAACCTAGACTTCCGGGATCCTCTAAAGGCCGGAAGTCGAGGCCTCGCTCGCTTCCGGCTCGGCCATTGTTTTTGCTTCTACGGGCAGTAGCAGTGTCTGCCTTCGGCTCCGGGTGCCACCGCCAGTGCCGGGACTGGGAGGGAGAGGCGACCGGGGCCAGCGCCGGGTCGCCGACGCCAGCCGGGCCTGCGTTTCGCCCGCGCGGCAGGAAGCGCGGTCCCCGTGACGCCCAGAAGCTGCCCGCTGTAGAGCCGCTTCTTTGTCCCATTCCTCTGACCAGCCGTGCATGGCATGGAGCCGGGGGCACCTGCGGGTACTGCGATGAACAGGGCAGACGTGGCCAGGTGAGCGGCGCCGCAGAAGCCTGGTTTGACACGAAAGGTAGATGCCAGTTTTCCCAACCTTGCACTGGGAGACAATAAAAACCGTCAGAAGTGGGTCAGACCCAGGCTCGGAATAGCAAACGTGAAGTGAAGTGTGACTTGGAAATGCAAAAATCCTGTTGAGATAAGCTGCTGAACTTTTGGAACAGTAACGGATGAAGGAAAATAGCCTGAACTTCCTTCATGTGTGGGCTCTTGAGTAGAGTTTGCAGATTATTTTTAAGTCCATCTTTGTCTTTTTAAAGAAATTGAGGCCCAGAGAGAAATGGCTTACCCAGGGGTCTGGGATGCATGGTGAATTGGAAACACAAATGCCCTAGTTACTACTAAGGTACTGATTTTCAAACTTTCAAAGTTTTTCTCCACTTCAGTATTGGCTAGATGAATCATATTCATTTGTTTTCCAAATAGGTGCCCCATGTACAAAGATAACTGGAAGCTAGCCCCACCCTTTGAGTCCTCCCAGAAAGTGGGGGAGATAATTGTGTAAACCACAAGCAATTACAGTGTGAGAAGTTCTCTAGCACATTGGAATGATACAGGTACTGTGAAATCACTGAGGCAAGAACCACACCTAATCCTATAGAGATCAAGAAGGCTTCCTAGGGAAGGTACATTGGATGGGAAAAGGTCGGGCATTTTCTGACTCCATGTGGTTCATTTCCTTTGGTGACCTTTCAGCAATTTGGAGGGTGAGAATGATGGGTCGTGCATAAGCCAGTTCAAATACAGTGTTATAGGGAGAGGTACACAAAGAGAAGGAACTAGCTGTTTTCTTCCTGAGGCAGTCAGGAAAGCCTTCAAGAGAAAGTGTCATATGTTCTGGGTCTTGACAGATGAATTTGTCAAAAGTTTAAGGGAAGAAGAAAATTCCAAATTGGGAAAGAGACTATATGCGATTTCTAGTTCTAGAGATGTAGTGCCAAACTTTATTGTACACTTTTATCAGTGGAAGAGTTTTGATCATGCATTTCCTACATAGGTTTATTTGTAAATTAAAGATGTGAACTACTATACAAACTCTAATACACATTATAAAACATACATTAAATAGGAGTTCAGTAACAACTTAGAATTTTCTTTTTGCACTCTTTGGGATATTTTGCATATCCCACATTGGAGACCATTGCTGCCTTTCTAGCCTGGCTATCTGGGGAGAGTGGTAGGGAGTGTGGCTAGAGTAGAGGTCCAAGGCCAGTTGTGAAGGGCTGTGAATGCTTATCATAGATATTTAGGTTTTATCCTGTAGGTGATGGGAGCCACTAAATTTAAGAAGGGAAGTCGCTTGGAGAGATGCTTAGAGGGACTGTTCTGGTAGTATTCTTTTTTTCTGGAGCTTTGCTTTTTAACTCAATGGAGGATCTGTCATCAGCCTGGGGCTGAACACTCCAGAGACTCTGATTTCTCTTTTGTTTTTTCTATAGGTGACACTCCCATCACCCCTTCCCTAACCCTGAAAAACAGCTCCTGAAACCTGAATTACAGACAATCATTGTATTTTATTTTTATTTATTTATTTATTTTGAGTCAGAATCTCACTCTGTCACCCAGGCTAGAGTGCAGTGGCACAGTTATGGCTACTGCAGCCTCGACCTTCTGGGCTCAAGCAATCCTTCTGCCTCAACATTCCAAGTAGCTGGAACTACAGGTATGCACCACCATGCCTGGCCACTTTTTCTGATTTATTGTAGAGGCGAGATCTCGCCAAGTTGCCCAGGCTGATCTCAAATCCCTGGGCTCAGGCAGTCCTCTCGCTTCTACCTCTCAAAATACTGGGATTATAGGTGTGAGCCACCGTGTCTAGCCCAGATCATCATTTTAATCAGACCATCTGCAGCTGGAACAAGCCTCTCTTTGGGGTCACAATGACCACTGAAGGCAGGGGAACTTTAGGCCTTATCCCCAGGAGTGCTGCTTTCCAGAAACTAGAGGGACGCCTGACCGTGAAGCAGGAGCCAGGGAACCAGACTTGGAGTCAGGGCTGCAGTCTCCAAAAGAACCACCCTCCTGTCTGTGAAATCTTCCGGCTGCACTTCAGGCAATTATGTTATCATGAGATGTCTGGGCCACAGGAGGCACTGAGCCGGCTCCGGGAGCTCTGTCACTGGTGGCTGATGCCAGAGGTACACACCAAGGAGCAGATCCTGGAGCTGCTGGTGCTGGAGCAGTTCCTGAGCATCCTGCCTGGGGAGCTCCGGACCTGGGTGCAGCTGCATCACCCTGAGAGTGGAGAGGAGGCTGTGGCTGTGGTGGAGGATTTCCAGAGACACCTCAGTGGACCAGGAGAGGTGAGCTGTTGAGTCGAGAAGGCATCTGGAACCATTCTCCAGTGCTTGGGCTAGCCTGGAATTAGGCATTCTCCAGTCCCTAGGCTCTAGTTCAGTGTGATCTTGGGATTACTGATTTTGTTCCATACAGAGAAGGGAAATAGTTTTGTTCTCCAAGCCATGAATAAAAAGGCAAATCTCAGCTAAGCTGTGAATCACTTTGTGAAGTACTGTGTTGTGATCCCAGCTTTAGCTTGGAGATCCACGCAGTACTCCTGGCAGGCAGGGATCTGCACACTGGTTAAAATAGGGGAACTAGGGGGAGGCGGACCTCTGGGTATGTTGATAATGTGCGAAATTCTCATTACATCCTCGAACTTCTCAGGGTCAATTCTCTCTCTTCCTGTCTCTTAGGTTCCTTATGAGAGATATATTTTTGGGCCTTGTAATCATTTGTTCCTTTTTTTTTTTTTTTTAAAGAAAGCAAGATTTATCAAGAGGACAGAAAAGCTCCCACAGTGGGAGGGGACCTGAGAGGGTTGCCCCATTTGTTCCTTTTGCTAGATTTTCAAACCCAACCAGGGTCTTTTTGCCTTTTAAGTTCTAGTTTTGTTTTTCCCTATTTCCTGGGGTTCTCTCAAGTTTAAATCCAAGGTAATTCAAACTAGAGGAAAAAGTTGGGAAAAATTAGCGGTATGGTACATTGGACAATGTCAGGGTTCAGCCAGAGAAGCAGAACCAGTAAGAGAGCTGTGTGCATGTGTGCATCTATATGTGTGTGAAGGAACTTATTGCTAGAAAGTGGCTTATGTGATTGTGGACTGGCTAGACAAGTCTGAAACCCATAAGACAAGCAGTCGGGAAGAGCAGGCTAGAACTCTGGCACAGGTTGAGGCTGTAGTGCACGGGTAGAATTTTTTTTTTTTTTTTTTTGAGTTGGAGTCTCACTCTGTCACCCAGACTAGAGTGCAGTGGCCACTCCTGGCCACTGTAGCCTCGACCCGCTGGGCTCCGGTGATCCTTCTGCCTCAGCCTTCCAAGGAGCTGGAACTACAGGCTCGCGCTACCATGCCCGGCTCTAATTTTTGATTTATTGTAGAGATGAGGTCTTGCCAAGTTGCCCGGCGGGTCACGAGGGAATTTTTTTTTATGGAAACTTCAGGTCTGTTTAAGGCCTTCCAACAGATTGAGTCAGGCCCATTCTTCCACCCATTATCTAGAGTAATCTTTCTTACTTAAAGTAAACTTATTATAGATTTTAGTCACATCTACAAAGTACGTCACAGCAACACCTGGATTCATGTTTGATTAGTACCAGGCCGAGCATGTAGCTCATACCTATAACCCCAGTACTTTGGGAGGCCAGGAATTTGAGACCAGCCTGGACAATATAGGGATCCCCTGTCTCTACAAAAAAAAATTTTTTAATTAGCCATTGGGGTGCATGTCTGTAGTTCCAGCTGCTTGGGAGGCAGAGATGGGAGGATCACTTGAGCCCAAGAATTTGAGGCTGCATTGAGCTATAACTATGCCACTGCTCTCCAGTCTGAACTAAGTAAATAAAATGATTAGTACCACATTGACACATCAAAAAACCATTATACCATGGATAAGTTTGTTCCTTCTAATGAGTCTCAAATTGCTCCCCTGTAATCTGAGCAGGGTGAAACTAGAGGCTCCCCTACTTTACCCCTTTGTACTTTACCAGGGAAACCAGTAAATAACATTTCTCAAATACCTGGCATATCATTCTATTAGTGCTTTTAAAAAAAATGATTACATGTCTATCACTAGGGAATTAGATCCAGTTGATCAGGGTCCTGGGGCTAGATTTTTTTTTTTGAGTTGGAGTCTAACTCTGTTACCCAGGCTGAAGTGCAGTGGCATGCTCACGGCCACCGTAGCCTCGACCTCCTGGGCTCAGGTGATCTTTCCACCTCAGCCTTCCAAGTAGCTGGAACTACAGGCACGCGCCACCACGCCCAGCTAATTTTTAAAATTTACTGTAGAAGTGAGGTCTTGCCAAGTTGCCCAGGCTGGTCTTGAACCCGTGAGCTCAGGCAATCCTCTCACTAGGCCTCCCAGAGTGCTGGGATTATAGGCGTGAGCCTGGCCTAGATGTTTTTTTCAGGAGCACCAGCCAGTGCACATTTGTCATTATCAAATCCATTGTCCACTATCATTTTCCTTGTATAAACAAGCACACATGACTACATCAACCACCACAAGAGTCTAGAGAGCAACTGGACCAGCCATGGCAATGACTGGTGGCTGAAGATGTATTTAGAATGCCATTTAGTGAGGAGGGTGGAAGGAAAATTTTCTACCTGGTTTTGCTAAAGCAAAAGTGAATGCTCCTTCTATTAAAACTCTCAGTGTTTTATCCAGGTAACCTCAGAAAAAGGTGACTATTGTTTCCTAACCCAAAGAGAGTGACTAACTGTTGACAGGTCAGGCAGTTGAATACTCATGACTCCAGCCTAAGAGTGGGGTTTTTAAACTCTGTTGTTTACTCTGCCACTACTGTCATTGTTTTCTTTTTTTGTGTGTGAATTGGAGCCTCACTCTGTCACCCAGCAACCTCTACCTGCTGGGTTCTGATCCTTCTGCCTCAGCCTTCCAAGTAGCTGGAACTACAGGAATGTGCCACCATACCCAGCTAATTTTAAAAATGTATTTATTGTAGAGATGAGGTCTCGCCAAGTTGCCCGAACTGGTCTCGAACGCGTGGGCTCAGGCAATCCTTTTACCTCGGCCTCCCAAAGTGCTGGGATTATAGGCATGAGCCCCTGCACCTGGCCTAGTTGTTTTCTGATATTAAGACATGCGGGCAGGACTGTCTCTCATAGCAGGGTTCAGAACATATTTATAGAATAGCTAAATGAATAAACACGCTTTTCCTTGGTAGTTTGCCAGGGGGAGATTAAGAAGGATGAGGGTAAATTAGAGTCAGCTCTACTAATTAGAAGCTAGCCACTTTATTGCTGCTGGAAGAACATGTACATGTGTGCACACTGGGGCTGGAAAAGGGCTATAGAGTGATCCCTGCTGGGCTGCAAAATCATGCAACTTGCCTAATGTTCTTGTATTCTGTATCTTATCTAAGTTCCTACCAGACTTACAAATCAGGCAATACAGTAATCATTATCTCCATTTGACAAGTGAAGTGAGCATAGAAAGGTTAATTAACTCATCCAGGACAACATATCTAGTAAGCATTTCTTGTGCACAAGATTTAGCTACAGTGATTATTGCTATTTACCACCAAGTGTGAGGAGCAGGATTTTCCAGTTCCCTAGGTTCCAAGCCACTAACTTTTCTCTAGTGTTTCTGCAGATGCATTTTAGAATGAGGTTTTCCTGCCTTAAAAGAAAGGAAACTTTTGTGTCTGGGTCCTAGGTAATGAACAGGAACTGTACCAGAATTTAATTGTCAGTGAATTACAAAGTTGTGTTATCATACTGCTTGCAGTTAAGTTCTATCTTCTACCAATACCCACAGCTTCTATATTAAATAGCTGTGACTCCCACTTATAAGAACCTTTCAGTGGAGAGCCTGAAAGTCACAGACCCCAGGAAGCCTTTTGATCCTACCACTACACTGGTGAGATATATATTAAAGGAGAGGGTCTATTAACATCCAGCAGATACAACCAAATAGGGCAAATCCAGCGTGGTTTATCGAAAAGGTTGTTTTTGCCTCATGCTGTGCTATGTACATGCCAGAGTGATTGAGCTTATAAATGTGCTTTAATTTGATAATGTTTTCAGTTTTTTGCTCCAAATACTGTTAAAATCAGTAACCATGAGATTGTGAGATACTGTTTTGATGACAATAAATGGTTGGAAATAAAATGTCTGTGCTCTGAGGTATTCTCAAGATCTCTAAAGATTAGTGTTATCTAATCTTATTTGGCTTTTCAAATATAAATTATTGGGGAGAAGTAGTACATATTGAAAACAGTTTGCAGATAATCCTATAATTTTAGCAAAATGTCAAGAGGAAGTCAGCAAATATTAATTGAATACCAAAGTTGGATCAATTATTGTTTTGAAGCTAATGAGCAAGACAGAGTCCTCAAAAATATATATATTCCATTTGGGAAAAACAAACAATAAAGACAAACAAGATTACTTAAAGGTCAATATATGCTATATAGAAAATATAGTCAGTCAGTTTGAAAGAGAGTGACTATCCCTACTTTGTCATTATGGTCAGGGAAGACTTCTCTGAAGTGGAAACACTTTTGCTGAGTGAAATTGGAAAAGCTCTCTTAAGGTTTATCAACCATTCTTCTGGGGTGTTGCTTCAGCTGTTAGCTTCAGGAGCATTATATGTGCACATACACATACACACACCTGTATTTCCTTTGTACTTCTGATTACTCCTTTCTATAGGCCAAGGCCCTAGAGAATGTACTGAATTGCTCTCCTGGCTCTCTTTCTAGCTGGTTCTTTTCTTTGGTCTGTTTTTTGTTTGTTTGTTTGTTTTTGTTTTGCTTTTTTGAGTTGGAGTCTCCCTCTGTTGCCCAGGCTGGAGTGCAGTGGCATGCTCATAGCCACCGCAGCCTCGACCTGCTGGCCTCAGGCAATCCTTCTGCCTCAGCCTTCCAAGTAACTGGAACTACAGGTGCATGCTACCACGCCCAGCTTATTTTTTTGATTTGTTATAGAGATGAGGTCTCACCAGGTTGCCCAGGCTGGTCTCAAACCCCTGAGCTCAGGCGGTCATTGCCTAGGCCTCCCAAAGTGCTGGGATTACAGGCTTGAGCCACTGTGCTTAGTCTTAACTGGTTCTTCATAAGGAAATTTGTATCTGAAGACCTAACTCAGAGTGAAAACAGTTGTAGAGTCTGGTCCTCAGGCTTCTACCAAGAGGGCCAACAGAGGGAGGACAAGTAGGATTGCAAGCTTCAGATTCTGCTTTGACAATTTTTCTCCCAGTAGGGCTGTACTTGTGGGGTTGGAAGGACACTCTGACTCTTCTTTTCCTGGCTTTCTTTCTAGAGGGGATTGCTTAGAGGTTTGGGTTCAGTGCCTTCTAGGATGATTTTTTGAACCTAGCTATGTTTCTTTGTCTCTAGGTTTCAGCCCCAGCACAGGAACAGGAAATGCATTTGGAGGAGACCATGGCTCTGGGTGCAACAAAGGAATCTCCTCCTACCTCACCCATCAATGGGGGCTCAGCTCCTGGAGCCCACCTGAAGTCTCCTCATGACCCAGGGGCACACCACCTTTCCAATGGACACTTTGGTACTAATCTCCCTAGCTCTGGCCTGAAGTCATGCCTCTCTTCTCCTCTGGTGTCTCCTTTCCTTCATCTGCCCATTTCCTACCCTTGGAATGAATTCCTGATTGCCCTGTCTTCTGTCCTCCTTCCCTAGTGAACTCGTTTGTTCATTTTGCTTATTCTCAAATCATTTATATATTTAGCAAGTATTTGTTAAGCACATGTCATGGGAAAGGCACTGTCAGGAACAGAGAGATATCGTACATCTATTGTCACTGCTTTCAATAGGTGGTAGGGAGTCAGTCACATGTATAAGAAGAAGCAACCTCATAGGATACATATGAATGATATCTATCCTCAGGCATTTGATCCTGACACAAATGAGCGATGTAGACATTGTACAGAGTGATCATTGGGTAACAAGATGTGGGCTAAAACTAGTAGGGGATCCTTCATGGAGGAGGTAACAGTGGATTGAACAGTGAAAACTGGGGACATTTTTGAAGGGGAGAAAAAATCAGTAAGCATATCAATAGGAAGGGATATAAGTAAAGACTAATCTGGGGGTTCCTTGTTTCCTTATTGAGATGGAGTCAGGGAGGACTATATTTGGGAACCTGAGCCATGCTTGTACAGGACTTTAAGGTTGAGACCAGGAAGATATTGGGAACCAGAGGAAGATGTATAGTTCAGGAAGGTTACTTGGGACAAGTGAGCATTGTTGATTGAATGGGAAGGAGCCTTAGTAGAAGGCTAGTACAATGGATGTGAGGTATGTAATGCCTAAGCTGGGGTAAGTGGAATGGAAAAGGACAGACATTACCATGGAGGAATCTGTGGGACTTGGGTTTGAAAGGAGAATACAGAGAATTAGAGTGTTTTGCCAATGTCTGGATTCATTGATACAACTTGGGAAGTCCAGAAAGGATGGTGGCATAATTTTTTTTAATACTTTAAGACAGAATTCATTAGCAAGAAAGAGGTATGCTCAAGAGCAAGCACGAGCCCCTTGACAAGAAGCTTTATATGCTTCTACAAGCCTGCCTAAGCAAACCATGAACTAAGAGTGGTGGGCTGCAGGTGAGGAAGGTGGCATTTTAGACACTAAACTTAAGGTGTTGCAGGACACCCAAGTGAAATGTCCCAAAGGCAACTGGAAGTGTGTGCTAGAGGTCTAGGGGAAAAGTGAGAACTGTGAGAACAGTGTGAAACTGATAAAAGCTGCTGAGAGAACTGACATAGAAGAAGGAAGCACTAGGGCCTAAGCTTTAAGGACAGTCCATACAGAGAAGACTGGAGCAGAAAGAGGAACCAGAGCTGTAAGTGGAAAATCAGGCTTGGCTGGTGCTAGGGAAACAACAGGAGAGAAAATCTGTCCAGAAGTATAACTTTCTTTAGAGAGATCAATGAGACTGAGGGCTGGGAGAGGCACCCAGTTGTCAGTTTGACCAGGGACCTTCTATTGTACCCTCCAGGGAAAATTTACAGCACACTTTGTATATGGGAGAGGGTGAAGTCAGTGTGTGTGGATGCCTAGGTTCTGTTGAATCCACTCCTTGGGAACACATCTTATGGGGGTCAAAGGCAGAGCTTGTCCCACTCATAGCTTTCTTTCTTCCCTCAGCTCAACTTGCTTCCCAAGTTCCTGCCCTTCCCCAAGCAGGGAACTCAGGATACCAAGTAGAGGCAAGTATACTTCAGATGGTCAGGCCCCAGGTGAGCTTGGTTCTGTTTTTCTCCAAGTTCCCATGTCTGTGGCCCAAGAATGGCTAGAGGTATCGCCTCCAGGACTCTGCCCCATCTGAGACTGCTTCTGTGGCTCTCCTGCCTAATTGCTTCCCTTGGAGTTGGGTCCCTACTGTTGAGCTTGTCCTGGACTTGTTTTTTTTTCAATGTGTTGTCCCAGCTCCTCTCTCCCACCCCTTTGCCTACTAAGAGACCATACCCATGCCTTCTGTACCCCTGATGACTCTCCCCTTCAGACTGGGAATGTTCCAGAGCAACAGATTTTGTCATTCCAGGATACTGCGGCATATGAGGACCTATCTGTGGACTATACTCAGAAGAAGTGGAAAGGTCCAGCACTCAGTCAGAAAGCTCTATACCGGAACATGATGCCAGAAAATTACCACAGCATGGTCTCCTTGGGTAATGATTCTAATTCCCAGGAATGTAGACTCTGCATGCTGTACATTTTCATTGCGATATTCTTTGTGTTTTTAAACATTTTTGAACATTTCCAAATAGATAAACTAGAGTGGATAGTATAGTGACCTTTTTGCACCCAGCTTTAACAGTGATCAACAGTCTCTTTACTCATTGTTGACTGACATAGGGTGGTTTAGGTAGGACCTTTTTAGTTGTGAGGTAGGGCTTTTTTAGTTTTAGTTGTCAGGCTATTGTAAGTATGGAACTGTGAGTTGTAAGGCTTAAAAATGGGAACCCAGAACAAACTAGTCAGCTAGCTTGTTAGAACCAGACTGTGGGAAATGGCCTAGACCTAGGAGATCCCAGGAGCCCAAACAGCAAAAGTAAATGTTTTTTCCTCCAGTGTTTCAGTGTGAACATAACACAGCTGCTCCCAGTATATCAGTTTTCACTTCACTTGTACTCCTCCTGCTTCCCATTTTCTTCACTGTGAATCTTTGGTCCTTCTCAAAGCTCCTTCCTAACTTTGCTTTTTGTTCTCTCACACTTATTGCTTGCTGTGGCTCTTAATGTCTTGACTTTTGTCCAAGCATATTTCAGCTTCCTTTGCTACTCAGAATTATCTTCATTTTGCCCAACTTCCATTTACCTATAAAGGAATTTCGATTGCTATAGCCATTACACTTCATCTTTTTTGGGCAGAACTTTGGCCCAGGCCATGGCAGAGGCTGATTACTAACCTACAGATAAGCTACCCTTGGGTCTGGTGCCTGTCCCAGACCCAGTCACCCGTGATCCATCATGAGATGCTCAGGACCACTAGGCATAAAGCATGATTGCCTCAGTGTCCCTCTCTGCAAAGAGTGGAGAAGGGTAGTTTTCTAGATGGGTTTATTGTCAGGACAGGTCCTGTGATTGACAGATTTGGGGCAGTGACCAACTGTAGAGGGTGTGCTTAGTAGTCATTGATCAAATGTCTTTAAGTTTCAGTAGGCCAAATGGTGTGATGGCTGTGGCCCTGAATAAGATATGATGAAAGGAACCAACATTTTGCTTTTTAGTTATGATCATGTTTCTGAAAGAGTTGCCTTTTCCCAGATTTTGCTTTCCAGAATTTAATTCAAGTATTTACCTGATCAGATTCTTTTGTATCCCAGGAAGTCAAGATCTCCAGACATATTTTAGTTCATATTTCAAATTACTGATGTTCCTCTTATTTTTTATAGGAGTACAGAACTGGCTTCTACCAGTCCTGTGCTCTGGGGACCTGTGTCATCCCTCCTTTAAGAACTCTGCTATTCTCTTCAACACTGCTCCCCAGCATTTCTGAACCTATAGCTTCTGCAAATCTTGTTATTGTCCTGTCCTACAAGATCTCTCCTTTTTGTACACTTTCCTAATCAAACACTCATCATATATCTCCAGCTACTCACACCTTTCTCTTCCCTCTTTCTTATATTTGACTTGAAATTATTTGCCAGTCTTTTCTTTCCCAACATCTTTTCTGAGAACCATGCCGTCATACAATGTCATGGTTGGAAAGGAACTTAAAGTTCATCATTTTACTAAGGAGACATAGCACTACAGAGACTTCTGTAGGATAACATCATCCCTTGCAGTTTGGTCCCTTGCTTTCTGACAGCCCTTCTTACTTGCTGTGCTGGCTCAACATCTGTCCTGGAGTCTTTTCTCTACTCTTCTCCATTGACCATCTTACTCTTCCTTCTTGTTGTTGTTTTTTTCTGGGAAAGCAGGATTTATTGAGAGAACAGAAAAGCTTCCACAGCCGGAGGGGACCCTAGGGGGTTGCCATCCTTGTTTTTCTATTTTTCTGAAAATATTGAGCTATTTCCTTTTTTGCATTTGCTCTTGCTCTGTCATCCTTCCTTCCTTTCTTTTTTTTTTTAAACCATATTTGACTTATTTTTCAGGTACGTAAACTCTTGATTTTGTTTCCTCAGCAGGACAAGAAACGAGTAAAAGTTGTTTTCTTCTTTCTTTTGGCAGCAGATGCAAACATGATGGAGCATTCAGTGTTGACTCTGAAGCAGAAAATGTCTAAAGGATCATTGTCATCTGATAGGACATCAGGGGGACTCTTTGGGGTAGCTCCTGGGAAACCAGAGCCTGGAGATGTCAGTCAAGATACTTTCAAGAAGCTAGAAGAGGCACCCATAGATGAAGAAGGGAGCAGATTAGAAAGTGATTTATTGGAAATAACAGAAAAGGATAAGAAAAAATCCATAAAAGACAGATGCAAGGAAAATAGGGAACATCCAAATTTGTCCTCCAGTTCTGTTGAATATGAAGGAATTCTAAAGGGACAGAAATCCTATCAGTGTGATGAGTGTGGCAGAGCTTTCAATCGTAGTTCACACCTCATTGGCCATCAGAGAATCCACACTGGAGAAAAACCCTATGAGTGTAATGAGTGTGGTAAGACCTTCAGGCAGACCTCTCAGCTCATTGTTCACCTCAGAACTCACACAGGCGAAAAACCCTATGAATGCAAGGAGTGTGGAAAGACCTATCGGCACAGCTCCCATCTCATTCAACATCAGAGACTCCATAATGGGGAGAAACCTTATAAATGTAATGAATGTGCAAAAGCCTTCACTCAGAGTTCCCGACTTATTGACCACCAGAGAACCCATACTGGAGAGAAACCTTATGAATGCATTGAGTGTGGAGAGGCATTTATTCGGAGTAAAAGTCTTGTCCGACATCAGGTCCTTCACACTGGTAAGAAGCCTTACAAGTGTGATGAGTGTGGGAGAGCTTTCTGTTCCAATAGAAATCTTATTGACCATCAGAGAATTCACACTGGGGAGAAGCCTTTTGAGTGTCATGAATGTGGCAAGGCCTTCAGTCGGAGTAAATGTCTTATTCGACATCAGAGTCTCCACACTGGGGAAAAGCCATACAAATGTAGTGAATGTGGGAAAGCCTTCAATCAGAACTCTCAACTTGTTGACCATGAGCGAATTCATACTGGAGAAAAACCTTTTGAGTGTAGTGAGTGTGGTAAGGCATTTGGTCTGAGTAAATGTCTTATTCGGCACCAGAGACTTCACACAGGTGAAAAGCCGTATAAATGCAATGAGTGTGGAAAATCATTTAATCAAAACTCACACCTTATTATACACCAGAGAATTCACACTGGTGAGAAACCGTATGAATGTAATCAGTGTGGGAAGGTCTTCAGTTATAGCTCCAGCCTTATGGTACATCAGAGAACCCATACTGGGGAAAAGCCTTATAAATGCAATGATTGTGGAAAAGCCTTTAGTGACAGCTCACAGCTTATTGTGCACCAGAGAGTTCACACTGGAGAGAAACCTTACGAATGTAGTGAGTGTGGTAAAGCCTTTAGTCAGCGTTCCACTTTCAATCACCACCAGCGAACTCACATGGGAGATAAGCCCTCAGGTCTGGCTCGGTCAGTCTCTTAAGGCACAGTTCTGAGACAAAAAACAAGGACCTTTGAGTTAAGTTTTCTTATAAGAAGGATGTCCACCCTGATTTCTTGGTGCCACTAATCATAGTGGAACATTTCCTACCTGTTTTCCCTGGAGTCACTAAGGTGTGAGAGGGAATAACTTAGTTCAATCCTTACCTATTATTAGGAAAGTAAGGACTACACATTTCATTTACTTATAGGTTTCCTTTTTCTTTTTTAATATTTAAAATTCTGTCTCATTTCTTAGTTATGCATTCATAATTGGCCTGTGTGCTTCTCTAGGACAGGAAATACCTTCTCTGCTCTACTTCCTCCATTTCACCATTTACATAAAGTCATTCAGCAAGGCCGATTCATGCTTTCTTGCCCTTTGGCTATGGCCCTCCTTGTCTATTCTGTAAACTTTACAGCCTCTCATCACTTATGTTTCCTGCGTAGAAAACCTTTTCTTCCTTTTTACTATCTGTTCCTCACAGCCTTCGAAATCCATCTCATCTCTTTAAAACTTTCTTCTAATACTGCCTTATTTTTAAAACTTCTATTGATTTGACTCAATGCTTTGAATTAGGTGGTGCTACAATGTGCAACTGTTAAATTGTGTCTACATATTTTCATACCAATTTTTTGAAGGCTTTTTGAGGTCAGCTATGTGTCTGTTTCAGCATATAGATAATACTTTCTACATACTAGTTATTAAATAAATAAATTTTAAAATCTCAACTCTCAGATTGAATTTTCCTTAAAGTATGTGCAATCTGTACCCCCTCCCCAACCAGACCAGATTGTTCTAAAAATGGATGTGCATCTCATCACAGAATATCACATACACGGGCCTCACTGATATCTTCTACATGTACTCCTCAAAGTCTTACTACTGTTACTTCTGCTTCAAAATGCAAATGGATTTTTGTGTGTATGTGAGAGGGTGAATGTATGTGTATCTAGGTATTAGGTTGGCAGTCATGTCTCCCTGATAAGTACTTTGCCCTGTGTGATGATTCTAATTCTGAACTTGCTGACTGCACCCTGCCTCCTAAATTAACAGATTAAGAACAGAGTCCACTACAGAGAAGACCTTCATATCTATGGTATAGATGATTGAAAATCTAGCTAGAAGCATTTCTCAATGATGGGAATTCACTGTGACAAAGTTTGTGGCAGATTTGCACTGATCTGTTCTCCTTGCCAACTAGTCCTGTTGACTTCCAACTGCCATCTTAAAGATGAGAACTGTACTCTTAATTATTGCAGTTTCCTTCTGGGCCATCTTTTATTTCCCAAAGATATGAGAAATAGGACATCTTTTCAGGGGATTTTCTTTCTTCTGCAGTAATGTGTAAATCCATGAGCTTGAACAACTTTCTCTTCCACTCCTGCAATAGTGCCTACTGCTGGAGGACTTTTACCTTTTGTGTCCACTGCTTTCTCTTTCCAGCCCCCAAACTTTCTCTTAACAGGTTAAGTAGTGCAACAAAGGTGGAGGAGCAGGCTATCTGGGCAATGTCAGATATGTTGCTTGGAGTGGAGATTTTCTGAGTTGTGTGTCTCAACATGGAAGAAAGAGAAAAGCTGAAGCCAAAGAAAACAAGAATTAGGTGTGTTTCTGGGGGGGACATCTCAAACAAGTTTAGAAAGAATAATTGGGGTCCTAAAGAAATTAATAAGCCCTAACTGAAAAATTGTCATTTGTAAATATATATTTTAAATTTGTTTTCAACTATATTTTTCATTTTTGTTTCCATTTTCCTTTAGAAGATATGAAGGTAGGCCAGGTGCAGTGGCTCACGCATATTATCCCAGTGTGGGATTTTGGAAGGCTGAGGCAGAAGGATCTCTTGAGCTCAGGCATTCAAGACCAGCCTGGGCAATGTAGCGAGGCCCTGTATCTAAAAATAAAAATTATAGAAGATTAAGATAAGATTTTTGGGGTTTTGTTTGTTTGTTTGTTTGTTTTTACTTTGGGAGCTCTCAGACCCAAGGGAAAAGCCTCACCCTATATGAGCCCAGGGATCCAGCCTCAACCCCAAGCTAGACATTTCTGGTCATGTCTTAAGTGAACGAGCCTGCCTATTGGATTCTACGGTTTTACCTTCTAGTTCTTATCTTATCCCCTACCACACTAAGCTTCTGGAGGTTGGGAACCTTCAGTATTCCTAACTATTAGCCACTGTCTCCAGTCAGGTGTAGGTGCTCAGTAGATGTGAATGCCTTGACATTCACAGGCTCAGGCTTAGGCTCTTGGATGAAGGAAAATTGGTTGCATCTCATAGTCTCCCAATTTCTATTGGTTATTGGTAGTATAAACCTTAATTAAAAATTTAAATCTGGATCCAGTTATGCTGACAAATTATTTTTAGGTCTTTTAATTTCATTTCCTAGCTTTTCTAAGTATATAATAAGTTAATAATTCATTAATGGCTCAGATGGTCAAGCATGATGGTAAAGGTGCTAGGAGTGGGATACTTACCCACTTACCTCTTAAACATTCAAAGAAAATATCCCACAGAAAAATTTTGGTCATAAACTCAGGCCATTTAGTTTCTATGTCCAGTAGGAAAAGTCAAGAGATTGTGGATGTTAACAAGTTATTGAGTACAGTTCTGTTACAAGAATGTTTCTGTCAAGGAGTTGACCTCCTGGAGTGCTACAAAGGATGCATTCATGAAAATCTCTAGGGTTTGGGGGCAAATTGTGGATTTGTCGATTGTGAATGCCTGCGTGGTGGCACTGTAAAAATAGAAAACAAATCCCCTATCCTAAAATCAGGTCATGTTCTGGCCTGAGGGGGCCCTGTAGAAGTACTTGCCACAGGTAGGTAAAGGGAAGGTGTTATGATACCAGCTGACTCCACAAAGTACCTAGTGGTACAAGTACTTGTTCTAGGACTGGACATTATAGATCTATTCTTTACCGAACCACAACAGTTCTCCCACTAATATATGCACAGGGTCGCTTTACCCAGGTGGGTGCCAAGTGGGATGAGATACAGACTCCCTTTTAAGGTACAGACTCCTTGTTATTTGCTTTGCATATAAACAGAAATGTATAAGGGCCCATCCTCTTTTTTGATCTGCAGTTATCACAAGGAATACCTGGTTAGGAATTGTCAACTGACTGAAATCACAATGCTTTTCCCCTTGGATAGCCCACAGTGCTTAACCCCTGCACTTAAAAAGAAGTTTCTAGGAATGAATGCACAGGTGGCATTTTATAATGCTGTCCAACAGACTTCCTCAGATCCCTTCCAGCTGCATTGTCTTCTATATGGATGATACATTTACAGGATGTTCAGCTTCCCAACTTGGTGTCATATGGATTGTAAACAGAGTTGTAAAAGGATGAGTAATCACTAAAGGTTTGGTTATAACAAGATCAATGGACAGAGTAATTACAGCACAATATGTATCTTCCTCAGAATGAATAAGTAGTGGCAGCTATAGCTCCATGTTTAGGGCCATGGGGATCATTTGTATATCCCCTGCCACCAGATTGAGTACACCAGTTATATACTTTGATTCCCAATTTGGGGAACATTACAAAATGCTATTGTTTCTTCACTGAAACTGTCTATTCTGCTGCCCAGAGGAGGAGGGGCTGGAACAATAAAAATGATACCATACCTGCAGCAGCCCTGGCAAGTCACTGTATGTCCTGATGTCAGGAAAAGGCCACTAGTGAAATTTCTCCCTCCAGTCAGCATTCAGGCTGCCTCTGCAGTGAGCAAAAATTGATGATATTCAGGTTCTCACTAGGGTGCCCAAAGGATCTGTGATGTGTGCAACCTATTAAAGATCATTTGTGGAAAAGGCTGTCATGGCAGCTGCCACAGCGCTAAAGTTAAAACCACCAGCAGTTGTATTCTTTCCACTCTAGGCTCTGAACTATGGCTGTCTACTGTCAACATCTGTCCTAGCAAGGAGCCCTGGAACAAGGAGGTGTAGTTACTCATTTAAGGGAGCCTTGAGGAACACCAGACAATTTATCTTTTCAGGGGTTCCCCAAGGTTTCCATTGAGAGTGGATATGTAGGATGCTTAAATGGTAGAATTAGGAACACCTGGGCAATTCCCAATTTGTAAGAACAAGAGAAGTTGCACACCTGATCTCTGATTTGTCTTCACCGGGTGATTCCTCTGTGTCTGTGTCCTAATCCTTTTTCATAGAGATATCAGTTATATTGGATTAAGACCTATGCTAATGCTTTCAATTAACCTTAATTACCTCTTTAAAGTCTCTGTCTCCAAATACAGTCACACTCTAAGGTACTAGAAGTTAGGACTGTAGCGTATGAATCTTAGGTGGACACAGTTCAGCTCATAACATCAGGTTTGTTTGTTTTTAAATACCAATTTAACACAAGGGCAAGTCTAGCTTGACTTACTAATGTAGGGAGTTGGCCTTTTTTTTTTTTTTTTTTTTTTTGAGTTGAAGTCTCACTCTATCACCCAGGCTGGAGTACAGTGGCACACTCACAGCTGCCGCAGCCTCGACTTGCTAGGCTCAGGTGATTCTTCCACCTCAGCCTTCCAAGTATCTGGAACTACAGGCATGCGCCACCACACCCAGCTAATTTTTTAATTTATTATACAGATGAGATCTCGCCAAGTTGCCCAGGCTGGTCTTGAACCCTTGGACTCAGGCAATCTTCTCACCTCAGCCTCCCAAAGTGCTGGGATTTCAGTCTGAGCCACCGCACCCAACCAAGTTGGCCTTATTCTTAGGTGAACACATTTTTCCATGGGTTAAACACCATGGCCACTGACTCTTGGGTTGTATTCCAAAAGTTCTTTTAATCTACATTTCACTGCCAGTTGAAACGTTGACCTTATAGAGAATGTCAAGATGGACTTTTAAGTACTATGGCGGGCACATGAATGCTTCTCCAGTATGAGTTCCTCAATTTTTGTTATTTTAACACCTTTATTGAAATATAATTTGTGCATCATACAATTCACCCATTTAAAGCATACGGTTCAATGGTTTTGGTATATTCATATTTATGTGCAATTATCCATAATTTTTTAAATTTTTATTTTAATAGCTTTAGGGGTACACATGATTTTTGGTTACATGAATACATTGTATGGTGGTAAAGATATTTGGATACCCTCACCTGTCCACACCGTACCTGATAGGTAATTTTTCATTCCTATACCCTTCCTACCTTCTTCTGAGTCCTCAATGTTCATTATGCCATTATATATGCCTTTGCAGCTCCTTAGTTTAGCTCTAACTTATACTTGAGATCTTGTGGGGTTTGGTTTCCATTCTTCACCTAGAATAATGGTCTCCAATTCCATCTAAGTTGCTGCAAAAGATATTTTTCTTTTTTATGGCTCATTACCACAATTTTAGAACATTGTCATCACTTCAGAAAGTGACCTCCACCCTTTAGCTATAATCCATACCCCTCCCTACCATCCCTTATTTTGTTTTGTTCTTACTTTTTTTTTTTTTTTTTTTTGAGTTGGAGTCTCACTCTGTCACTAGACTGGAGTGCAATGGCCGCTCCTGGCCACCGCAGCCTTCACCTGCTGGGCTCCGGTGATCCTTCCGCCTCAGCCTTCTGAGTAGCTGGAACTACAGGCGCATGCTACCACACCCGGCTGATTTTTTGATTTATTGTAGAAATGAGGTCTTGTCAAGTTGCCCAGGCGGGTCTCGAACTCATGGGCTCAGGCAATCCACTCACCTCGGCCTCCCAAAGTGCTGGGATTACAG